TAATCAACAAATTAAGCAGGTAATGAACAGTAGCTCATTACAGTATTTCATTACGTAATCAGTGAACAGATGGGCTTAAAACTCCAGACGGATTCCTGCTGAGCTGAGAAAGAAACCATTTTCTCTCTCTCTCTCTTTCCTAGGTCATTTCTTGGGAAACCATTTTGGGCCAGTGTTCAACAGAGACAGTTTTCAATAGCAAACTGTGTATATATTGTCAGACATGGATCAAAATTTAGAGGGTTAAAATGAGTGATCTGATATGCACATTATTCCCAGTGTTCCAAACAGGGATTCAAGTGGAAGGACCTTTAATTAGAAACCAAGGCCAAGAATATCCATGCTATTGTATTCCTGATTACTATGTATGGGTGTGAAAGCTGGACAGTGAAGAAAGCTGACAAAAGAGCATTGATGGATTTGAAATTGATGCATGGTGCTTCATGAAGGAGAGCTTTGCAAGTGTCCTGGACCAACAGAAAGATGAACAAGTGGCTCCTAGATCCCTTCAAGCCAGGACTTTCCTCATAAGCAAAAATGACAAAACTGAGGCTGTCACACCTTAGGCACATCATGAGAAGGCAAAACTCCCAGATGACAAGTATGTAGGGAAAGGGAAAGGCATAAGAAAAGGAAGACCAAATATAAGATGGATTGACTCCATTCGGGAAGCCACAGACTTGAATTTGGAAGAGCTGAGAAGGACTTTCATGGGTAGGAAATTCTGGAGGACATTGATGGGGTTGCTGTAAGTCAGAGATGGATTGACGCCATGGAACAACAACAATGCAAGTACACCAGAATTCCATAAGTGACACAGCTGTTGAAAGAGAATGTTTGGGTTGAATGTTCAGGTGATGCTTGAATGCTTCCAGCAAAGATGAGCCTACCTCCTCCCAAGGCAGTGGGTTCCCCTCTTACTAGTAGGACATTTCTCCTTTTTCTCCATTTCTCTTCTGCATGTCAGCCCTTCAGAAATCCGTATCATCTTCTCTTCTCCAGATTAAACATATTTCAACTATACTTCATGGGACTTATCCAGAGCCCTCTCTATAATCATACGAAGCATGCCATGGCCACATGTGAAGAATGCATTGAACAGAAGACAGGAAGCTGCCTCCTGTTCAGTCAGACCATTGGCCCATCTTATTCTATATTGCAGAGATGCAGAACCTTTGTCCTGCAGAAACTCTTTGGGTTCCTCCACCAGATGGGGCTTGGAGGCCAAACTCCAGCCCCTGGAAGATTCCCTCCAAGAGGATTCCCCACTGTTATCTGAGATTGGCAAGAAGAGCAAGGATGAAAGCAATGGGAAACTCAGCTAGCATTGGGCTGCTTCTTTCAGTGTTGGCTGAGATCCCTGCTCCATGCTGACACGGCCAGATGCAAAAAGTAGAAAAGCAAGCTGAGCAGGGGGCAAGCAGGACATCACCCAGGCTGTGAAGTCTCAATGGTGCCAATTTGCCCCCCTCCCACCAATGAATGATTCTCTACCCCATCCATACCAAGAAGAAGCTGATACCCAGGATTTCCAATAAGACTCTTTCCTAGCTGAATCTGGAGATGCATGGATTGAACCTAGGATTTTCCACATGCAAAGCATGCCATGATTTCACATGCTGGCAATGCCAATGAGAGACACATGAAATTGCTAATGAAGTAATCCTCAAGTGAGGGGGATTCCTTTTTTCACTAGGTATCATTGCCTTAGAAAAAGGGGTCATTCAATGTAAGATATTTACTAACACCTACAAGTTAGGATTCAAAGCACTCTAGGAATGTACAGACATTGTCAAATCCACTCCATCTGCATTTTGCTGACTGTCAAGTGCTTTTTATTCCAGTGTCTGTTTATTCACAGAATAGGATGTTGTGCCTAAACATTCATATGCACATGGAAATACATACTTCCAAAAATTGACAAATCCCTCCTGCAATGTATTTTTATGCTTTAAACGACAGAAGGGGAATGTACATTTTTGGTCAATGTTTTTTCATATTTATCTGTTACTCAGTTTGCATAGAATTACATAAGTGTTTTTAATGGTCCACAAGATCTGTACAAGTGTGGAGAAGTTGCTCTACCACAAAATTCAACAGCCAGATTCATCAAAATCCAAAATCATTTGATCTATTGCTGATTTCTCCAACATCTGCATTCAACTTAAGAACAAGCTCAACAACTGCACAAAGCCTACAGGGCAAGCAAAGTATTTCAAAATTCTTAGCTTCCTTTTTTAAAAAAAATTGAGCCAGCACCATATTTTAAATACGCCAGCACAGCACTGAGCAGAAGGAAAAGTTCATCTTGTAGGGACTGAGTGTCCCTTTCCCAGGCTGCCTGGGAATTTCTATTCAAGCCTTCAGCAAACCATCCTGTGCTGTTTCACTGTGCAAAGGCAAAGAACAATACACTGGAGAGCGTTCAAAGGAGGACTTCCCTGCCCGCATTGTGCAGCTGTCCAGTCCATTTTGCTCCTCATTCTGCTACTTGGCCAGCCCTGCCACTGCTTACTTGCCTCTGACAGTACTTGAGTATTACAGAGAACTCTCAGATGCTGCTCTTAATTATCTGGCGTCATGGACAGTCAGTTTTCTGTCAAAGAATTTTAAGCAGCTTGGAGTACAACTGCATCTCTCCTTAGTTGCTGCTTGGGGAAAAGCTGGCAGGAAAAGCCCCTGATAAAGCCCTGTGTGGGGGGACAAGGTGGCCATTACAGATCGCTGATGGGGAGATTGAGAGGAGGCCCTTCTTATCAATGGGTTGCTCTGCTCTTCAAAGGCACCCAGCGAGGAAGATCACATTAGTCCGTCATGAGCTTGGGTGGTTATTAAAAGAAACACAATCCTCTTACAGTATGGAAAGTGTGCAGGCATGGAAGTAGGCAAGGCTGCGGGAGAAGCAAATCTTTCTATCCGCGAAGAGATCACGACAATGGTTGCAATTCCTGGACTGCTATGGGCTCCCAATATCATGGATGGTGGCTTCAGCCTGAGGATGCAAGGCATGCTGGAGGATGAACAGGTGCACCCAGTGCGAGGGACTTTCCTGAACGCACCTTGAGAACATTCTCTTGCTAACAAAGCAGTGCAGCTTCCTCAACCTGAGGCTCCTCAGGCATTTCAGACTACAGCTCCCATCAGCCCCCACCACAAGGCCAACAGTCAGAAAGGCTGGAAGGTGTCCAAAACATCTGGAATGCATCAGGCTGAAGAAGACATTGGCTTCAGAAAACGCTGCTGCCATCCCTGAATGTTATTCCAGATGGACCAGAAGCAATAAAGGCAAGTTCCTCTCAGGAACATCAACTTGACCTTCTCTCAAGAAATCTATATAAGAGTAAAGAACTGTGCAAATTGATCTTGCCCACTATACCGACCTCTAGCAGCAGGGCCAGCTTTAGAGGGCGGTGAAGTCAGGCATCTGCTGAAGCCCCCCAAATGCCAAATGGACCACTCTCTTCCACCCCACAAACACATGTACACACTGATCACAGTAACATCTTCCCTTTGCAGGGAGCATCCAGAAAGCTCAGAAAGAGTGTAATGGAACTCTCAGATTGCTTCTTCTAGTTTTGGATGTTTTGCCCAAGCAATCCCAAAACCCTCAAGTCAGCAGAGAAGCTAGCTTGGGACACACGCATGGCACCACCTTTTGTGTCAAGCTATTTCTCAGCCTCTGAAAGTTCCAACCTTAAAACAAGATTTGAGTATGAAACCCAGGCCCAACTGGTAGCAATGTCCAAAGCAGTGGGTGCTCTCAGCACAGGGGCCAGAGACACCAAGTTATTCAGCTACCAAGAGAGGAACACACACACCAGAGCTGAATGTCATCTGGATTCCATTGCAGCATTCCATCTTCACATGTTTCATTGAAGATAATAATGACTAAATGGGACAAGGGATATTACATAACACCCCTAAAGAGGGCAGCTTGCCAAAGGAAAAAGAGCTGGGTGCGGGGAGAGGAGAAAAACACCACCTTTCTTGGGTAATTATTATCACAGGCTCCCAGTGCAGAGGCAGCTTTCATACTGAATAACCTACTTCCTGGGAATTATGCCTCGGCCAGGAAGAAAAGGCACCTTTCTAAAATACCCAAATAAATACCCACATGGACCTAGTAAGGAGGGTGTTCCTTTCCATCTCCCAATGCACTCATCCCCCCATCCCCCATGTGCTTCTCTTGATTATCACCGTTTAGTCTATGCCCCGGGATTCCTCTGACCTTCTCCGGGAAGGACACAACATTTCCGCCTTAACACAATCCAGGCGGACAAGGGGCAGCTCGAGAGGTGTTTTTCAGCGCTCGTGTTCACGGGGGTGGGGTCTCACAAACAGATGACTCCCCACCAGTTCAGCCAGTCTGCTCTTCCAGATCCCGCTGCGGGTTTATTATTATTATTATTATTATTATTAGTAGTAGTAGTAGTTGTAGTAGTGTTATCATTGCAGCGATAAGTGCTCACTATGCCCCCGCTCGCAGACGAGAGCGCAAGACCCCCTCCGCAAGACAGCCTTCGAGAAGACCGAGCGAGAGGCGTGCGGGTCCCGCGGGGCGCCTCTTGCAGGCCCTCCGCACAGGCTGCAGGGAGGAGCGACATGCACCGAGCGACAGGCGAAGCAGCAGCAGCAGCAGCAGCGACGCCGATGCCTCGCAGCCGCGCCGCGGCAGAAGCGCTCGGCGTTGCCTTCGCAAGCCCGTGACTGCGCCTCTTGCTCCTGCCAGGATTCTCCAGCGGCCGCCTTTGCACATCTTCGCAAAGGCGGAGCTCCTGCCGCAGCTTCGCCTAGACGTCCATCCCCAACGGAAGCCGAGGTGCGCTTCCCTCGCCTCGCGCCCTCCACCTGCCCCCTTTCTCTCTGCATCCCGGGGTGAAGGGCTGCAGGGCCCCTCTGCGCTTGGCCGCATCCTCTCCCTCCTTCTCGGATCCCCCCTGCCCGCCCAAAGGTCCAAAGCGCAGAGATGCCGCCGCCGCCGCCGCCACTCCTCGGCTTACCTTCTCCTGAGCCCTGTTCAGCCTCTTTTGGACATTTTTAGCAAAGATGCCTGTTTTCATGTCGGCCATGGTGGCTGCTCCAGGGATCCTTCGCAGGAGGCAAATCAGACCGAGCCCAGCGGCGGAGAGAGGGAAACCGAGAGGGAGCAGGGAGCGCGCGCGCTGCGGGGGAGGGAGGCGGGACGGGGAGGGACAAAGGAAGGGACGCGAGGCGGTCTTAAAGGGGCAGCGGGCGGCAAGCTGCTGCTGCTCAGGGGACAGGATTCGCCGGGGGCGGGGCGGGGGGCGAGCGAGCACAGGCGACGCTCAGGGAGGGACCGGTCGCTGGCTTGCCTGGGAGGAGAACCCCGTGGTCGCTTCGGGTGCAGCACACCGAAGATCAGCGTGGGAGAGAGCGCCGCTCAAAGCCGTGGAATGAACTTCGGGGCAGCCGGGGTTAGGGTCGGGGTGATTTCCCGGGTTAAATCAGGGGGAGACAACCAGGCGCCTGCCAAAGGGTTCCGCCTGCGGCACCATTCAGCCGCAGCCAGCATGGCCCATCGACGTGGATTCTGGGAGTTGTAGCCCAAACGCCTGAAGAGCCCCGGGTTCCCAGCCCCTAGCCTAAGTGAATCACAGCCCCAAAGCATGTATTCCTGCAGTCCTCATAACCACATGTGTTCCTGTGGACCCTACCAATCAGATGAGCGTTCAAAATCAGGTGATTGACACCAAACCGGTTTACAGCTGGGGTAGCCAACGACTTTATCCTCCCAACAGGAAAAGGAAATGGAGTTGCTGTGTTCTGTGGATCAGTACTTTCCCAGAGTGAGTCTGGGAAAGTACTGAGTGAAATCCAGCTGCATTTCTATTATTCCATGTGCTAACTCAGTTGTATTTGCAGCACTTCCAGATGGACAGCTCCTAGCATGTAATACGTTGCTGTAGGGTTATGCAACCGTTATCCAACCCTCAAACAACCCTCAGTGGCTGGACTGGCCTGGAAAGGTATCCTGCAGGCAGGGGTTCCATATTCCAAATGGCATCCTGCATGGACCACACATACTGTGCGTTAGGGAATCCCCAGGGGCCCAGCATGTTGTGCAAACTGAACCATTGTGCAGCAATTAACATCTTTTCCCCCTTACTTTTTTCTGTGATAAGAAAAAAGCAGCAGGCTTGGTGAGAATATACAGGAAGCTTACAAGTGGAAGATGTTGACATCCTCATTATATTATTTTACCATTGCTATTTATTGGTATTCTATTGTAATGGTCTCTCAGAGAGCACAGTGCTACTGGCCAGCTTTCAGACAAATCTAATAAATAAAACACCTACACACACACACACAATCCTGTGTTTGAGGCAGGACAATTGCACAATAAAAGCATCACCTGGATGTATCTTAAATAACTCTTAAAATGTGTTCTACCAAAAGTAGATCTGAACCTAATACAATAAACATGTTATGGCATTCACCCATCATTTCTAAACTGGAGAACTACTTTATATTAGAATCTTGGGTGTGATCCACTCACTCCAATGCAGGGAAAGTTCCAGTAGGTGGTAGAATATGATGTGACAACCCCTGAGCAGGAAGAGCATGGGACTGGGACTCAGAGGATCTGGGTTCGAGTCCCCGCTCGGCCATGGAGCCAACTGGGTGACTTTGGGCCAGTCACAGTCTCTCAGCCCAACCTACCTCACAGGGTTGTTGTTGTGGGGATAAGATGGAAGAGGAGAGATAATGTAAGCTGCCTTGAGCCCTTTGTAGGAAAAAGGCAGGATATAAATTGAAAAAAAAAAAAATCTGCATCACCACATCACAGTGGGTTAAATAACCCATGGTGAGCTGTTCAAACCACCCCATCAAGGATTCTGAAACATATCCTAATCCCTGAAAGCATAAGAATTCCTGACAGTTTTCCACAGTAGATGAGTCAATGTTGAGAAGATTGCCTGAGGGATAACATTGAAGAGCCATTTAATTGTGGTTTTGATTGATTGTTTTTTGCATTACATTGTAGCCAAGGGTTTCTCTTCATTGGTACTGTATTATTGTTAGTCACCTGAAGGACCATTGTTAATGGAATTGTGAGCTATAGCATTATCTATGTATTTGTTTAATAAATAGTTGCTGCAGATGGTGGTCAAGGGAATGAGTTTTTTCCAGACAAATCTGTCTCTTGGATTAACAAACACTCATAAAAGGATCTCTGGGTATTCATCCACTGGACTACTGCAGGCAGCCCTGCCCTCTTATGGACAAAACTGCTGACAATAGAACTGATTCAAATTTAACCTTGATTAAAATGTTGTAGGGCCCACAGGTTGCCAGTTAGAGGTACACAAGAGGAAAAAAAAGGTCCATATTGCTTCTTTCCTAACTCCCCTTAACTAAGAACAAAGTACAGGAAGGACACATTTAATGAAAACTGAGTCTCTGAAGTCCCAATGGGAATATTTAACCCTCCCAGTGAAGGTGATGGGGCTCAGAAGAGACTGACTCAGGCAGGATTGTGTCAAAGCAGGCATCCAGGAGTAATAAAGTTAATTCCTAGATAGCTCAAATACTTTACCCTCAGTTCCTTTTGTATCTGAACAAGAGGAAGGGTGAAGTACAAAATTTCCCAACCTGGTAGCCTTTAGAGGCATTAAAAGCCATTGACTGGGAATTCTGGGTGTTGCAGTCTAAATGTGTCTGGAAGGCACAAGGTTGGGGAAAGCTGAAGTAGGGGAATGGTAAAGTACGGCGCTGCATGAACAAAGGAAATGCAAGGGAGCTATGTTTCTTGTATCTGAATGCATCATTCATTCATTCATTCATTCATTCATTCATTCATTCATTCATTCGTTTATTAAAACATTTCTATGCTGCCCCTTGCCGAAGCCTCGGGGCGGCTCACAACACAAAATAAAATACACTATTTTATTTATCTAACATGTTAGATAAATTTATCTAACATGTTGATCTGCACATCTTTCCAGTGACATCTGCAACCCAACCTTTTCTCCACAGCTTCATCAGCCACCCTAGTTCAAGCTCACAGAAAAACCTCCTAATGTTTCGATTCTTCCAATGTGAGCCAAATCCCAGGGCTATCCCTCTGGGCTGCATCTGGTAGTTGAGCAGCCTGGGTCACAGTTGCTTTAGTTCATAGGTAAGGGTAAATTTGGAAGTGCAGGAACTTGTCATGATAGCCACACCTGCTAGGAGAGTCCAGAAATGCAGGCAGCCATGTGGAGACATAAACCCTCAAGAGCAGCCGTATATGGCATAATGCCCACTCTGCGAGGATCAGCTGCCAGTCACAGAACAATGGGTGGGGCAGAGGGTGGGGCAGTGGCAAGCCTTTCGGCCTTGCCTGGGGGGCCTGGGGTCACCTCGCTGCTCAGCCATGGAATTCACAGGGCGGCCTCTGAGCAGTTACTGTCCAGGCCTACCCCCCAGGACTATCATGGGGATAATGCAGAGAGCCCAGCCCCAGCCCACCACCCTGAGCTCAGTGGAGGAACCGCAAGGGACAGGTGGAAGCAACCGTGAAGTATTGCATAGAGCTCAAACTGCTCGTTCACATGTTGGTACCCACACTGTATACCCAATGCTTGAGCAGTGCAAAATAACTTTCCTGCAGACTATGGGCCCTCCCCAGTTGTGAAAAAGGAGCAAAGCAGCACTCCTCCGTATTCCTGTTCCACCTCACCACCACTTTTGATGGTATTTGAGAAGAACTGCTTGCCTTCTGGGGCTTCCAAGCACATTTATAAAGGATGTGGCCCTGGGACTAGGATCAAATGGAAATATAATGTGTTTCCAGCAGAACTTGTTTGCATGTTCTCTTAAGCGGTTTGTGATGTGGTGAAAGGCTCAGGCTGGCACCATGGAGTGAAAATAGGTAAGCCAGCCTGCTTCTGAGCAAAGGCCCTTTTGGTCCAGCACTCCATACAGACGGTGGCAGACCAGCTGCCCACAGGATCCCTCAAGCCAGACAGGTGCACAGCTTCCACCTGCCCAAGTGCCCTTGCAACCATGCCGTCTCTGGTGAAGAAAGCAGCACACAGACAGCAGGGCCAGTAGCCATGGATAGCCACCTCCTCCACAAACCTGTCCAATCCCCCCTTTAAAGCCACCCAAATTGGTGGCCAGCACCACTTCCCATGGCACTGAATTCCATCATTTAACCATGCTGACCCTGGAGCATACCGGGTGAGCCGGGGCCAAGAATACTAGTTAGCCTACTTCACAGGGCTGTTGTGAGACTCTGATGGGGTCACCTCTGTGGACATCATAAGATCATCAAAGACTTCTCTGATTTCCTTTCTGGGGAAGCTTAGCTGAATAAGAACATGAAAGCCTTCTTATGGTGCTCTGCCCATGGAAGCTCAGCTAGCACCTAGGCTAGTATCAGTCCAGCCCTATGTTAAATGTTACTTAATTGCCCAGGAGTTTTAACATTTTCAAACTGGTTGATGTTTTGTCTGTTTTACTGACATTACACCTCTAATGTAATTTTACTGTTTTATTGTACTGTATTTATGCCCTGACTTAGCTTTAGGTGTTTTTCATGCCTGTTTTGTACATTCTTGTTATCAGGATGAAGGGTAGTTTAAAAGTGTTTAGGTGGTGGTGGTGGTGGTGGTAGGATGATGATATGCTGCTATAAGGGAGAGCTGTGAATGAATATCAAATATACAATGTAAAAATGAACATAAAAGTTAAGTAAGATGCATTTCTGAGCCTTGGCTACTTTAAGGAGCAGCCTTAAACTTTGTCAGAGGCCTGCTTAACATAATAGCTCTCCAGGATTTGAGGTTAAACTCTCTCCTCCCAGCTCAGCTGTTCACTCAGATCTTTTCACTAGGAAAGTCTAAAATTGAACCTGGGGCTTCTGATACATAAATTATGCACATTAGTTCCAAGATATGAGAATGACTACAATCCTGCAGAGCACATAAGTGAAAATAAATAGATTTTGGCAGATGTGACACATGCATCAACATTTTAATTTTACTTGCATCTACATGTGGTGGGTCAAGGAAGACATCCTACTTGAATGGGTTTTAAAGGAGTAAGTAGTTAAAAATGTGTC